GCACCTCCTCTGAGTCTCAGTGTGCTTTTCTCTTTCCTTCTAGTTGTAGAATTTCCACTCAGCCAGCCTTCCTATGGTTCTGGATGATGTCCGTTTTGTCTTTTAGTTGTATTTTTGAAGTGGTTGTGCGAGGCAGCAATTTCCGGTGTTTACCTATGCCGCCATCTTGGTTTCTCTCCAAAAACAAATTTTTAAAAACAGGCTGAGAAAAGATTGTGCCTTTAGGTTTGCTTCAGGTCATATGGTACAAAGTTATTGAGCAACTTACTAAATATAAATAATCTTTCTGATAATATATTTGGATAATCTTGTTGTACAAAGTTATTGAGCAACTTACTAAATAATCTTTCTGATAATATATTTGGATAATCTTGTCTTCTCTTCATATCCACATTCCTCTGACTCTTAAAATACACAATATGAAGAATTATATTTCCCTTAAATAGGATTTTAAAAAATCTGTTATTTCTACTTTGAGACCTGGCTATATTGCCATGTTCTAGAAATAGATAAAAAATGTCTTTGAAACATTTTGAAAGTTACATAAAATGGTATTATTTGATGCTATGTTAACCCATATATATTTATTACTTAGTCTTCTAGATTTTCCATTTTAAAAGTGATATTGAATGAAAGAACTACAACTACGTGCAACAATGTGGATGAATCTCACAAATATTATGTTGAGCGAAAGAAGCCAGACACAAACAAAAGAGTACACTGTATGACTTCATTCATATAAAGATCAAAAACTAAAACCAGTTTGGAAGTCAGAATAGTAATACCATTGAGGGGTGGGTACTGACTGAAAGGGGGCACAAGGTGGAACTTCTGGTATGTGGGTAATGTTCTATTTCTTGATCTGGGTGCTGGTGACACAGTTGTGTTCACTTTGTGAAAATTTTTCAAACTATACAATAATGATTGATGCGTTTTTTTGTGTCTGTATTATAGTTCAAAAGATCTTTAAAATGATATTGTCTATGAACTGGCTTGATTCCAACTTTTGCTAAGATTGCTATTTATTTCTACTTTAAGGTGCCAATGTGAATCGGGCTACAGCCAATAATGATCATACAGTGGTGTCGCTGGCATGTGCAGGAGGTCACCTGGCAGTTGTTGAACTACTCTTGGCTCATGGGGCTGACCCTACTCATCGACTCAAGGTATTCTACTAAAAAATAAGTGAATAAATAAATAATGTATATATTAAAATGTTTAATCTCTTAGTGCTTAATATTCATTACTCTTTAATGAGTTTTGATTTTATATGAGTTGCTAAGAAACTAAATGTGTATAGTAATCATATAAGAAGAAATTTACAAATAATAATTATGGTGTCAATTTTTCTCAGGATGGCTCAACAATGCTCATCGAAGCTGCAAAAGGTGGCCATACTAATGTTGTTTCTTATCTATTGGATTATCCAAACAACGTTCTATCAGTTCCTACTACAGATGTATCTATACTCACTCCACCTTCTCAAGATCAATCTCAGGTAAAGTAAAACAGAGCTTATTTGAAATAATAACTATTCTTACCAGTTGGGAATTTTTTTTTAAATATATTTTATTGATTTTTTACAGAAAGGAAGGGAGAGGGATAGACAGTTAGAAACATCGATGAGAGAGAAGCATTGATCAGCTGCCTCCTGCACACCCCCTACTGGGGATGTGCCTGCAACCAAGGTACATGCCCTTGACCGGAATCAAACCTGGGACTCTTCAGTCCCCAGGCCGACGCTCCAGTGAGCCAAACCGGCTAGGGCTCAGTTGGGAATTTTTGTTTAAAATTTGTTTTAAGCAAAATTGGCTTGTTTCTTTTTTCTATTACATATTGAGATAAACATGATCCTAAGTTCTTAAGGTTTCTTTTATTCAAAAGTTCATGGAAATTTTAAAATCTTATTTACTAAAAATAGTGTTTTTTAAAAATATTTAATACCAAATATTTAATACCAAA